AAGAAAGCATGTGTGATGTCGGCCTCAAAAGTTCACTTTTTGTCCCCCTGAAAAATAAAGACAACATCAAAACAGAACCCATTAAAGTGAGACAGGGAACAGGAAGGAAAGGAAATCTAAAGATAGAAAAAGGCAGAGACGTTCTAAGGGAGGCTCAGAGGCAGAAAGTTCTCTTTGAAGGCTTTCTTTGACCTTTTCAATCCAATTTAGAGAATATTCCTTTGAAACACAGTCATTTAGCTTTTCCTCAGTAGGGTACCTCTTTTGACCTCTCTGAAGAGGAGGTGGCTCTGCTAAAGCAGGTGTGAACACGTACTGAGCAGTACTGCAGTCGTAAGTCTGAGTTATTTATTCACTGTGAGGAAGTAAGGCATGCTGCTTCAGTGAATGTTCTTACTTAGTGGGGCACAAGTTGAGGCCATATCACATGGTCTTAGTCTCCTTAATAGAAAGGTTCACACTTTCATCACAGCTTAGAATACTTCTACAACTTTGCCACTACCTGGTTTCCACTTTTCTATAGTGTTTTACTCCAATTTTCTTTTTCTTCTTGTGTCTTTCAGTGCTTTTCTTGTGTAAAAGACTGCACAAAAATACTGATTCACACACCAATTGATCTATTGATTGTATCAATTGACACTGAAGGTGTTCAAGGTGGCGACAGAGCAGCCCAGAACAGTCACCTGGAATGTTTCCTGAGCAGGGATCAAACTGATGTTGACTGTCGAAGGGAGATTAACATTTGAAATTGAACAACAGCCACAGGAGCTGGAATTGATTAATCAACGCTTCACAAGAAGAAAGGAAAGAAACAGCTTTGCCTGGTGAGAGAGGGAACGGACCTATGACATACAGTACTCATGTTTTCAGGTTTTATTGATTGCTCCTGTTGATGCGCAACACTGGTTTTTAATTAAAGTTTGAAGTTCCACTGGGTAGCAAATGTGGAATAAGTGACAATTAGTACACAGGAAAAAAAGGCAAATATTGCACAAAATTAATTACTTTTGACTCTCTAATCAAATATTTGTTTCATGGAACTGTATTAAAACGGAGCTTCATTTGACATTTTGGTCAACCATGCATGTACATATTAAATTCTAGTTAATAACCTATCAAACCATTTATGGTTAGATTAGTTATTCCTGGTTAAGAATGACATGAACCTGAATGCCATCCCAGAAGCACAAGGCATAAGGTAGGACAACACCCTACCTTGAATTTATTTTAGAGGTGCTGGGCTTCTCTACAATATACAGTAACACTTTGTAAGAAGAAGAGTTGTAAATTCTAATGTATTACTTTCCCTAGGTGTCACAGTCTATTGGTTAATCGACTCTTAAAACTTTTATGTTATTGCTCAGATGCAAAATAGATCAATATTTAAATAAAAAAATATTCCTCTTGCCAATATACAGTATATGATTAATGTGACAATGGGGGAGTTTTATAGATGTTTTTAAAACCTGTCTCAGTACAACCTCTCCCACAAAGCAACGTGAAGGCTTTAGCCAAGTGGAAAATGCTGAATAATAGAAAGAAAATTCAGAAATTCGATCAAACTGCACCCTTTCATGTTTGAAGGACAGGCTATGTGCTAGGTCAAATCTCAGTTTTGGTTTGCACATCATCGTAGGCACATTTTCTCTGCAGAAAGTGATTTGCACACCAAACTATGATATAATTCCCATATTCCTCTTCCTGCTGTGACCTCTGCCTCCTGTGTGCTTTCTGTTTTCTTCCTTTCATGCACGTGGCCTTTAAATCCCGAGGAAGGACACGGATGATGCTGTTGGAGAGAAACTAGCCCACTCTGTATATAATGAAACACGTCTCACCCATCTGTTGAAGCAAATTGGAAATGTGGTCCTGTGAAAATGTAAAGTTCTTTGTTTGGTGAAGAATTATCATGTTCTCTGAGGTGTCGCTGGAAAAGAAATTTGCAGTTAGACTTCATACTGTTTATCTCAGGCTTTGTTTTACAGGACAACTGGGGTGTGCAATGAAACCAGAACGGGTGGAATGGTGCAAGATTTCTCAGTCCTGCTTCTCTAAGACCTTTAATTCTGTTTTTCTGTCTTCTGTTTTTCTTTTGTGCTGAACTTGTTAGTACTTGGTCCACTTTTCAGCTCTTAAAATGTCAGACAGGGTAAGAAATTATCATTTACCTTCTGCCAAGTACCGGGCTGCACAACTGCCTTGATTTGGGACTAAAGTTTCAATAACCGGGTGTTTGCAATTTTACAAGTTTGGCCTTTCTTGAACTTAAAATGTTTATATTACAAGAATGCTTCAGACAGAACTAAAGATTTGTTAATGTTCTCCAGCTACACTGGAGAGAGGCCAGGACAATGGCCTTCTTGAGGACCTGTTAAATCTGATGTAATGAAGCTACTCAAACCATATCAATATACAGTATGCCCTTCTTCTGTACATGATCAAATTAATTACCTGTGGTTAAACCCTAGTCACCATGAGTGAGGTAGCGCAATGTTCTATAAAACATTTAGTCTACTTCCCCAAGATCTGCATTAGATATTAAGGGGTGTGGGTCAGCGCTTGGTTTCCAGGTATTTCTTCCATCAAATAAAAATGAATCCCTGAGGGACTAGGAATAATTTAGTTTCTAAAGACCTTTAATTGTGATTGTTCATTGGAATGCTCACAGTTGACTCACTGCTGTTGGGGTCCCTATGGGTTTTGAAACCATTATTGGATTCCTTGGTTTACAGCTCCTGTAGTGAAACTGAGATGTACAATTAGAAACAATTGCATGGGGCTCCCTGATGGATAAACCACTGAAATCAGGTGCCCTGAGACTGGATTAGGCTCTAAGGCCTGGATCTCACAAGATTGACCCTGGACAACACTATTAGGTGAATCTCCAGATGGCAGTTTATGATGGCAGAGTGCCACCAGGGTTAGGGCTGGGATTTGCTCTGTAGAGCAGTGTCTCCTGCATCTTCTGGAGTACCTGCAAGCTTGTAGAGCCATGCTGCTCCTATAAATGGTACCAATTCTTCTGCAAGGCCCTGTGGAGCTTGTGGCTTGCCAAAAGATAAAAAGAACATTTCTGACCATCTCCAATTTGCATGTACATTCTAGGATCCATTGGTGTAAAATGAGATGAGAAAAAATCATTTGATGACTCCATTTTGGGTGTGAAAACTACAGTCTTCATAAAAGAGAAAAGAGGCCTCTGAACTGAATATGGAGCTCAGTGCCTCTGTATACAGTGTAAACAAAAGTGTGTGGTCACGGTTTGGATTTGAATCTACAGTGTGGAAACGCAGTTTTATAGTAATGATCCATCTTAATTTACCAATTGCCAATCTTGTTTTGTGGTGTTTCAAAGGGAGAGTAATAGGAAAACCTCCTTTTGTAAAAACAAAATGCCTTTTCTCCATAAAGCATTACTTTACTTCCTAGGATGAACGAGAGCACGAGACATGGACGTGGTATGGGTTGGGAAAGCAACCCACACTGACACTGGGATGATAGGAGCGGCCTCTTTGAGTTTTATCAGGGACTTGAGCTGTGGAGATGAAGACAAGCAGGAGAGGGATTACAGCTCTGACAGCTGAAGCTGTGCCAACCAAAGACAGCGCATTCCTGTCACACCCAACTTCTGAGACCTTTTGTAAAGATCACGTTCATCTGAACATGGTGTATGTCAGCCCTGCGTGACAGCCTTCTGTCAGAAAAGAAACTCTTTTCTCTTCTCATTACATGCGCGGGAGTGAAGCTGTTAATGCCAAAGATGTGGAGGGAGATGATCCGCTACATGTAGAGATCAGCTCTTTGAAAATGCCCAGAACTGTGAAAGCACGGCAGCTATCAGACTGCTCTCAGGCCCTGGTTTGATTCAATGTACTACTTTGATGGTTTATCCTAAAGTTACACATAACTAAAATGTCTCTTAAAATGAGGTTAGCCAGTTCTGGACCTAATCTAAAAAGTTTAATGGAGATGTTGTAGAATCATAGCTTTGTTCCACACAGACACTCCACAAGCCAGTTAACATGGCACTGTCTTTGGACTGTGAGTGGAAACTGGAGCACCTGGAGGGAAGCTTAATGAACACACCCATAATCTACACAGACAGCACCCCAGGAAGCAAGGTCCCGAGCACTGTGAAGCAGTAATGGTAACCACTGCACCACCGTGCCACCTGACTGTAATAAAGATCAGTGAAAGTGAAACTGAGCCACTACCCCATCACAAATCAGAAACCTGGAAACTGATGTCTTTATGTTCTTACACATGAAACCTGCTGTGGGCAGGCGGGTTAAAGCTGCATGGGTTCATGCTACAGTGTGGTCATTAACATCTCGGAAAATACGTTGCATCACAGCAGTCAATTTATCTCGGCTAACGACCGTGAGTCAGATTTCACCTAGTTGAAATCTGAGGATTCGGTGACCCTTTTGCATGCTTAACCTAGTAAATCTGACTGCATTTTCAACATCTCCATGCTTACATCACATATTTAATTTTCAATAGCTACCCACAGTACCACGATTTACTATAATTTGCTTTATTTTTGTTTTGTTTTTATCTTGATTTCACAGTGCTTTTACCATAGGGTACAAAGGAAACCTTAAGTAAGGGGTGTTGATAAAAGGGATTGTGAGCCTGGAAAAAAATGGAAGGACTGTACTTAAAATAACCTTTTATTAGGAATTTCTTGCCCTGCTGGCAACCCCAACTCCATTTACCTTATCTTTTTACCTATCAAGTGAATGTTGATCTTAATGACTGTGCTATATACATCTAAATTTCACTTTGATTGGATTTCTAGTTTCATAACCCCAAGTTAAATAGTCACAGGCAGAACAGTCCCTTGAGAACACTTTGAAATACTGGGAGGCGAGCTCTTCAGCACTAGCAGATAAGACAAAAATAATCATCAGGAGCTCACACAGTGGGGGGAAAAAAAGTTGAAGCGATGTCATGGAAACTGTCATAATACTCAATAGCCTGGCACGGCCAAAGCTGCCTAGGGTCAACAAATTCAGTGCCTTGTTTGTTGTCGAAGCACTTAATAAAACAATGCACACCGCTTGATACGCTTTTATGTGGCAAGAGGCGAGCGTATCAGACGAAATCAGACCCGTTGCTCCCCAAATAAGTGCGCAAACACCCTTGAAAACGTGCGTATTTGCAGCAGCGCCCACTTTGCCGTGCGCTCTGTGGAGGGAGCAGGGAAAGAGACTGGATAATAGTTCTGCACACTGTCAGCCCTGGCAGCTGCCAGCGTTGACAACCTCCTTCTGCCCCACACAGTAAAACTGAGGGGAGCTGTGATTCAGCAAATAAGAGCTTCTTTTTGATGGCCCGTCCCATTGCTCACTACCATGAAGTGGGCCCGCGCCTCCAAGAACACGGAGTTGGCGTTTTCTTTTTTTTTTTTACATTTATGAATCTTCTCCCGCATCTCCCATCGCCAAGTCTCTCTCTTTGTTTTATGCTTTAAAAGCTATCAAGTAGGTGCTGGCTGCGCGCAATCGGCTCCGGCTTCGCGAGTGGAAACGGCGTTTTACCATCGCCTAGGCAACAAGGCGCTCAGCTGCTTCTCCGTTCTTTGCGGCCGCTGGAAACCCCAGTTGCGCTTCTCCCTCGTCCGCTACAATCTTCGGACACTGCGGTATCCCTGAGACGCGGCGAAAGGTTAATGCTAGGGGTAGAGGAACCCGTTGCTGTTCAAAATGCCAGTGAGAAGGGGCCATGTAGCGCCCCAGAACACATACCTGGACACCATCATCAGGAAATTCGAAGGGCAAAGTAAGTAAGGACTTTTTTTTTTCTTTATTTCGAGTTTGAACTGCGTTCTTTTATCACTGTTCGTGCCTGTGGGTGATGCCCTTCGTTGTAATGCCCAGGTGCTGTTAAAATCAACAGTTGCTTTTTTTTTTTAAAAAAAAAAGAAATCACTTGATAAACTGGAACAGGATGTACGCTACACCTGGTATAGCTATAGTCTTTCAACCATCCATCCGCACTCAAACCAGGCAAATGGTTATTAAAAAAAGTACGATATTATCTACAGTATGTACCCTTTTCATATTATTAACGCATGGCGTTTGACAACTGCAGATAACTTGCGGTTTGTATGGTACTGTCCTGCTTTTCCATAAGTATCCTGCTACATGCCAGCACGTGCTGTTATTGCTACATTATTAGCATAATTGTTATGCTTTTACACATACACAATTCGTACACATTTCATAACACTCACGCAGTGAGGTTTCGACAATGGGATTGAGTGAAAATCTGCTCTGTTTACAATTACAAGACCACCCCACCTCCCAAATATAGTGCATCATGCAGTATATCAGACCTGCAGCGCTATAGTTCCGCAAGAATATATTGCTGGACATCGGCAAGATCATTTATTAGGAAAGATGCAGCACTTCAGCATGAACACCTGAATCTAAAAATACTGGTGCTGCAATAATTACTAATAGTGTAACATACAGTATATGAAATTCCTACCATTGTTTGAGTCCTTTACCACTGCCTAAGCGTTTTGTCATGGTGCTTTGTCACCTGGGGTGGAAATCAGAACAGTAATGTACGCTTACATTCTTGTGATGAAAAATAAAATACTGCAACTTGGCTATTCTCAGCTAACCAGAGACACCTGTCAGTTGTGTCTGCCTTCACGTTACTGAACGATTAGACGTTGCACACAAATGAGTTACACTGTTCTTGCGGTCGTGTAGTGCTTCTTGTTTTTCAAGATTCATGTTTATCATAAGCTTTTTTCCTTATTTGCTGGAAACTTCTACATTTTGTGTGGGCCTTATTATCAAACAATTTTTAGATCAATGTAATGCAGCTTGCAGTGCAGCTTTAGCTGCATGACAACTGTGTCTCCAGGCTCTCATACAGCTCATCAGCCACCTTAAGACCCTGTGGCCATCAAGACTGAAATCTGAACCCAGCTCCCCTATAGTGCCGGCTAAAGCTACTGTAATTGCAAATGAGCATTATGAGTATAAATCCATCCTTAGGTTTATGTTTAAAGGTACAAATAACCTCTTTAATTGGGCACTGTAGATTCAGTAACATTTGATGTTTTTGTAATGATTAGGCAAAATGTGCATGAAAGACTAACAGAATCAGGTCTCCTACACTGCAATGTAAATTTGATCCATTTTAGGTCTTCCTTATTCTTGTACAAAGTCTTCACAAGAGTACATATCATTTAATTTATTGTATCATAAGCATGGACCTTCTCCGACAAGTGTGGAGTTTGTACAATTAGGTCAGTAAATGCTGGGTGTCTTTTTCAGCTCATCTGTATAAACTGGCATTTGAAAGTTCTGTCATTTCATGTCATTATGCAGGACACTTTTGCCATGCTTGGGTGAAATGGCCATTTTCCCTGTTTAGAAATTCATGAATCTCTGTGACTTTTAAGTACCTTAAAGACAAATCTCACATGCAGTGCAGTGAAATACATATCCGCACAGTCTAGTCTAGTCTGGTCTGGTAGATGGGAATTACAGAGCCCGCTGAAGATCTGAAAAGTTTAAAAATCCAGTTACCATGGGCACTACAGAAGGACTGCTGGTTTCAGTGGTGCAGAACCTGAAAGCAAACTTGGCACAAGCTGTTGAAATGGATGCTGCAGGAATCGAAAATATTTGTGCACGAAAAATGAACAATCACAATGTGCATTTTAAAGCTTCCTGAGCTATTGCTAATACATGTTATGTCTAAAACAAATTACTTAATTGAAACCTCTATAAAAGCATACACTAGCATGTAAGCATAATGGAGTTCATAATGAAAGTTCAGGTTGAAGACTGCTCCTCTCTTCTACCAATCACTCATTAGCACATCACTATAAATATCACCATGGTGATGTCCCCTGTAAGCCCTGCACTGCTACCCTCCCCCAGTGCAGTGCACTGTTGCTGATCCAGTCCCTTTGTTCACCTTACATAGGGGCTGGACACCTCGGCCCTATTCCAGGTGTCACCCTTTCAGCCACTGGCATGCTGAAGACTTTCTAAACACATTCATTTCATGCAAGTTTTCCTAAAATGACTGCACTTTGAATTAATTTGTGTAAGTGCATTTAAGAAGAGTTAAAAATACTGACATAATATTAATGAATATTCTACATAATCAGCATAGAATAAGAGCCCATATAATTGAAAGCCTCTAATGGATCCTCATGCTATGCACTGGGCATCTGATCAGCTTCCCTGCACAAGCCATGTTTTAGAGCATGAGAAAGTGATGGTATTGTGTTTATTGGAGGGCTGTGTCATCACCAATTGTGAAATACATAACTTGACTATTACGAAGTCATGAAGAGCAAGAGATGATCTGAAATGCAGGTTAAAAGGGGTGTAAGTGGATTTATGTAGTCACAGTGCACACATATGCAATATCCTTTTAGTGTCATTACACAAATAGCTTCCATATAAGTAGTTTAATTTAATATGCCTTGTTTAGTAGTTAATCCAATTGGTTGCCGCTGCTATAGCAGACCTTTAGATTAGGGATGGGGTGGACAATCATGGTGCTCATCACCTGAAGACCTGTGAAAAGTTGTTAAGTGGTTCTCATTGAACCAGTAATTAGCTGACTGATCTTGTCAAGAGATGAGCTGGAATGAAAACCGTCAGACTCCTCAAGGACCAGGACTGCCCATCCCTGTTTTACTGAGGTGGTAGGTCACAAAGCGCACCATTTAGATGCTTCTAAATTCATCTTAGCAAATGTTGTTTTAATTATCCTCCTTGAATTTTCTTACTGAGCTATTATTTAATTGTCAAAATTGGGTTTAGTGGAGGAATGAAAAATTATTGGGCAGAGTGCATTGCTATTCCTGTGTGTTGGCTGACAGGTTATTTCAATAAAGTAATCAAAAGTCCAAATTGCTATCTTAATTATAAACAGCTTTGCAGTTAAGACCAACAAATTAAAACTGAAAACAAGAGGATGTGCAAAGCATTCCTTTACTCTTTCATCTGCTAAAGCATTTTGGATCATTTGTCTCAGCTGTGTTACCTTTTGTCCTGCAGAATATTCTGTCAGCACCCGGTGCCATCTGAATTTTCTGAATTTTATGGTTTCACTGATCTGTTCCAATAACTTTATATTTATATATTTTTTTAGTCATTGCAATAGTGAAAGACCTTGGACCACGTCTAGGTCAATCAAAACGTTTTCATTAGGGCAATGGTTCAAGCCAGACGCATGACATGTTTGTTGGTTCTGGGAGTGGCTTGTCAGCAGGTAAATACAATAGAATAAGTATGAGTGCATGAAGAATCTGAGAAGAGATTACATGCCAACAACCACAGTACTGTAGACTTATGCATTGTGTTCTACAATATGTCTCCTTGAGCCAAGGAGTAAGCTGGTGATGGCTCATTCTTCTAAGCTTCCATTGGGAATCCTGATTCCTCTCCTGTCTTACCAAGAACTACTACCTAATTAAAACCAATAGAATTAGCTTTTCATAACAGTAGAGCTGATGTGTGCTTTAATTGCTTAAAGCTAGGATCAGGAGGATATCCTGGCCTGCTCACAAACTATCTGTATGACTCTGGCCACAGTGATTTCAAATCTAAACACTACAGTACATAGCCTAGACAGAATTCCCAATGCATTATTTCCAACAACTCTGAGAAGTGACTTATCAGTGCTGGAGTTTACATGTTTTTAAAATCTGTATATGAGTGTTAAACCACTTGAATTTCTCGGTACATTTGGGGATAGGTCTCCTTTTTACAACCTCTGTCTTGATGAATTTAAACATGAAGAATTCATGTAAAAACCGTACAGTGCAGTTTTACACTTTGTACAGTGTTTAGTCATTATGAGGAACACTGTGCATGAATTTGGTCATCTTGGCACAAGAGGAATAAAGGGAAATATTGCTGCTCTAGAGACATTATGCGCAACTGTGTGCAGAATAATTCCTGCTTTCAAAGGAGGCAAATGAAGGAATGTGAATCCTTTTAGCCCAGAACAAGCTCCATGTTAAGAAAGGAGTTAACATGGAGCTTGTTTCAAACAGGCCTTTGCAGGAGTGAGAAAATCACAGGCTGGAATCCAGTCTCTCCTGTGGCGTCCTGCACTGCTCATTGTCTTTCATGCTGGTGTTTTGCTTTGCAAGCAGTGGAGTTAATTAAATCTGAAGGGTCTCTTCGTGTCAGACTGGATGGCACAACAAAACTTTTGTTAAAAACGACTCATATTATTTGTATCATGTCTTTGTTGTGACTGTGCTTGTGGATAAATTTAGATTTGTATAAATCTGTCTTCCTTATCTGAGTGTGTGTGTTGTGGGCCGAATTCCTTTGTTGGGTCTGGCTTCTGATCGCCCAGGGGAGCATCAGCTCAGCCTTTTCATAATAAATGTAGGTACATTTTATTTGAACCTGAAACCTCTGTGACGTGTTTTTTTCCTGTGTTTAGAGTTTCTTTCAGAATGACACGTGCCAGCTCTCCATTATTTCTGATAGTGTTTCTATTTCTCACAAGGCTTTAAATGGGAACTGCAGTGCCAAATATCTCAGACTGATTATTAAAAGTTGGTTACTAAATTAATTGATGGTATTGGAAAATGTTACAAATTCAGAATTAAGCGCAAAATCGTGAACTTTGTGAAAGTACTGTATGGCCATGTTGCTGCAAACCACTGATCTCACCATGGGTGAGAGCGAGAGTTTGCAAGAGTTTGTGAGCATTGTGACGTGATGCTGCCCTTCCTGCTCACTAGTCACTGTAATGACTAATGTATTGTATGAGCGAAT